TAATCAAAACAGGAACATTTACAATCAACACATTTTTGCCAACTAGAAATAAGTTTGCTTATTCCTGTAGCATAAAAATCTACACTTCAGAATTCAACGAACTCTTGGAAAGCATTTTCTGCATCCTGCTGGTTGTGGAAGTGTATTTCCTGCAAAAAGTTGTCAAGAGGCTTGAAAAGTAGTAGTTGGTTGGCCGAGGTCAGGTGAATATAGTGGATGAGGCAAAACTTCATAGCCCAATTCCTTCAACGTTTGGTTGTGCGACCTTTGGTCAGGTGTTGTCGTGGAGAACTGGGCCCTTTCTGTTGACCGATACTGGCTGCAGTTTTTGGTGATTTCATTGATTTGCTGAGCATACTTCTCAGATATAATGGTTTCACCGGCATTCAGAAAGCTGCAGTGGATTAGACCAGCAGCAGCAAATAGTGACCATGACCTTTTTTTGGTGCAAGTTTGGCTTTGGGAAGTGCTTTGGAGCTTCTCTGTCCAACCACTGAGCTGATCATTGCTGGTTGTTGTATACAGTTCACTTTTCATCGCAGGTCACAATCCCAACTGAGAAATGGTTTGTTGTTGTTGCATAGAATAAGAGAAGATGACACTTCAAAACGATGATTTTTTTTTGATTTGCAGTCAGCTCATGCGGCACCCACTTACCAAGTCTTTCACTTTTTCAATTTACTTTAAATGCCGAACAACCGTAGGATGGCTGACACTAAGTTCGTTGGCAACTTTTGGTGTAGTTGTAAGACGATCAGCTTCGATGAGTGCTCTCAATTGCTTGTTGTCACCTTCTGATGGCCAGTGACTGCACTCCTCATCTTCAAGCCTCTCATCTCCTTTGCAAGACTTCTTGAATCATCATTGCACTGTGCATTCCTGGGCCAGATGTGTTGTTGGTGTTGCCAATTGTCTCTGCTGCTTTACGACCCATTTTGTACTCAAATAAGAAAATTGTTCGAATTTGCTTTTTGTCTAACATCATTTCCATAGTCTGAAATAAATAAAAACAAACAGTAATAAGTTATTAGCAAAAAGCAAAGTGAGAAATGTGTATTAAGATGATGTATAACATAACCATGTTTATTGAAAATGTATTCCAATATCAAATGGAAAATTTCAATAATGCATAAACTGCAATTTTGTTTGCACCAACCTAAATAATACATATTCATTATAGAGAAGTTGGACATACAGTTCAACTTAAGCAAAATAAAGTCATCCTTAATTCTGTCTTTCTACCTGTAAATACATAGAGACATTCCTTCTGAATGTTTAAGGAAGTGGGGATGGGATCTGGGCAGGGTACAGGAGAGGCAGTTTCTGCACCAGGGAGCAGTAACTAGGGGGTGGGAAGGAGATGCTGTGGTCCAGGGATTTCTAGGATTCTGCTTACAGAGGCAGTGATTTTGATTTTCTGTTACTTGCTCTGAATGCCCTCCTCCTCCTTGCCCCAGCCTCTATTACCTCAAGGTGGAATTATGCATTTATTTGAGGAAATAATTTATTCATGAGCATTTTGTAGTAGATGCTCAAGAGAAAGTAAAAGATAATGAAACCGACTCCATGACCCAGAATATAAAGCTGTGCGTTTTGTTTCTCAGTTATGTCACTCATGCAGGCCTCAGCTATTAATCACCTACCCTGTGCCAGGCTCTGGCCAAGTCCTGGGGAGACATAGATGAATAATATTTAGGTCTCCCACCCTTCCTAGTTTCCCTAGGGACATTCATGTGGCCTTTGCCAGGATCACTATCTAAGTCAATAATTGTGATGGTAATGATGATGGTGATGATCTAAAGTAGTGGTTAGGATTTTAGGCTCGGGGTGAGGCAAACTTGAAACATGGCTCTGTGGCTTTGGGAAGTGTGGTGCTCCTGGCACGAAGCCCATCTTCCTGGGCCTGGGTGTCCTCTTCTATAAGTGGATCTTAGCTGTGCTACCCGCGTGATTGCGATGCACTGCGACAGTAGTGCAATATGCTTCATCCCGCCTGGTCCCATGTAAAGAGGTAGTGATCACTGAGCATTTATCATTGACCCCGCTCCCAACTTGTCTGCATTTCACTTCACACCAATCCCAATGGAATCCTTCCAGTCACACCGTGACTTGAGTCCCACCACCTCCATGTTGCAGATGAGGTAACTGAGGATGCAGTCAGCTAAGGGGGTGATGAGGACTTGAGTTCTTTCACTGTCTGACTCCCAGGTCCAGGGGGCCAATGGACTGGGGGCTGGGAGCAAGAGGCGCTTCTCCTCCACTCTCTCCCACACTTCCCTGGGAAAATCCAACAGGTGGTGGGGCCTCTGCACTGGGGACCATTGTGCAGGGGCCTGGGAGGGTCGGAGGGCCCAGTGTGTGTCTGGGAGAAGATGGATGCCTTCATTACCATGTGAATCCTGGGAAACTGCCTCCCTGGCTGGGTGGTGGGTGGGCGTGGGCTAGGAGCTGGGTGTTCCCAGGCCTGGACCACACAGTGACTGGGAAGGGAGTCCTTATGGAATCCTGAGGGACCCATTAAGAAAACAGATAATGGGATTTCCCCTCTTATTTAATTTCTTATTTTAGGACATCTCCATCCTGTGAGGCTTAAAAGAGACACAGATTGAACACAAAATGTTGTTTTTAAGGAAGAAAAAAACCCTCCCCCCTCCCCACCCAGTTGCAACTTTCCCACTGATTGTGCTGCATATTTGGGTCTCAACACTCAGAGTTGGAGCCTTTCACAGAGTGCGCACGGGTCAGCATCTCCATGGGGGCATTTCCCAGCGCCGGTCCCTGAACAGCTCTTTCATTCATGGAAAATATGTCCTGGGGGAATCCAGGGTGATTAGCAAATATTAATAGTTGCTGAGCAAATTGGGAGAAGCAGGTTTTAGACTTAAAAATCAAGGTGTTGTCATTTTTTTTTTAACATTTTAAATTGAAGGATAATTACAATATTGTGTTGGTGTCTGCCACGCATCAGTATGGGTCAGCCATAGGTATACATATGTTCCCCAAGGCGTTGTCAGCTTGACTGGAGCAGAAAGGACTGGCCAGCGTTTGGATAGAAGGTCGGTAGGCTTCGGAAGGACCCAGGCAGAGGGGTGCACAGACCATAGCAGGAAACCTGGAGCACAGGCGGACTCACGTACACGGGCAGAGAGCACGTGGAGCAGCACAGGTTCACCAGCTTGAAACAGCAGAGCCTTTCCCCAAGCCCTTTCCCACGCAAACGCTGCCACAGTTGCATGGAATCGCGTTCTTTCTCTCTCACACACACACCAGGGCAGGCGCTGGCTCATAAGTGTTCTCACAAACACACACTCTTGAAAGTGGGCAAGATACATCCAGATGTGTGGGCACGACTTCACCACCGCCATGTAGAAGTACATCTGCAGCCCTGCTTCACGTAAGGGTTCCGTGCCCTCACGCTTACTCACACACTTATACAAACCCCAAACTCATACAGATTCCACAAGAAAACACACTCTTTCTCTTTCTCACACGTGTAGTTGCACAGAGAACCTCTAAGGCAGGAAGGGGCCCTGCACCTCCCCTGGACTCTGCACCACAGCAGCTAGCCTGCAGCCTTGAGCCCAGGTTTTTTCTACTTCCCCCTGACCACCTACCACCTTTGACACATATGTCTCTACCTCCTCTCCCCTCCCCACTCCAGGTCCCGCAGGGTGTTGCGGGAGGCAACTCAGGTCTTAGCAGCAAGACAGGTGCCTACTTTCAGGGCACAGACATGTGGAGAGGCCCTGAATTCTGCACCCAGGGGCTCAGCCTTCTCTGTGTCCCCTCTGCCATCACCCTCCCCCAACGCTTCGTCCCAGGAGGGCAAGGGGCCAGGCCCCGCCACCCACCGCTTTGTAGAGGGCAGGGTGCCGTGGGGAGGAAGGGCCCATTACAGACCCCAGAGGGGCTCATCCGCCTCACAAGGATCTGCCTTCACATGCAGATGGCCTGTTTGTCTCACCTGGTCTGCCTTAAAATGACAAAGAGGTTGGAGGCTGTCTGGGTATTACAGGTATTACACCTGACCAAAATAAGAAGAGGAAGGTTGTTAACTACGGTAACACAATAGGTATCAAAATAGATGGCACTGTAGATATGATCTGTGTTGAAAAATACATACTACAAAAAAGTCTGAAATTTAGCTGTTAACAGTAATCTCTGGGTGGCAGGAAAATGCTGTTTTATTTTCCCATTTTTAAACATATATGTTAATTTTCTACAAAGCATGGATGTAACCTCTGGATAATAAAAGTTTTTAAATTAAATTGATGCTTTTGAACTGTGGCATTGGAGAAGACTCTTGAGAGTCCCTTGGACTGCAAGGAGATCCAACCAGTCCATCCTAAAGGAAATCAGTCCTGGATATTCATTGGAAGGACTGATGCTGAAGTTGAAACTCCAATACTTTGGCCACCTGATGCAAAGAACGGACTCATTAGAAAAGACCCTGATGCTGGGAAAGATTGAAGGTGGGAGAAGGGGATGACAGAGGATGAGATGGTTGGATGGCATCACCAACTTGATGGACATGAGTTTGAGTAAACTCTGGGAGTTGGTGATGGACAGAGAAGCCCGGCTTGCTGCAGTCATGGGGTCGCAGAGTTGGATACGACTGAATGACTGAACTGAACTGATCTATTTGTTTCATTTATTTTTTGTCGTTCTGGACCTTCATTGCTGCACTCTGGCTTTTCTCTAGTTGTGGCGAGTGGAGGCTCTTCTCCAGTTTCGGTATGCAGGCTTCTCATTGCAATGGCTTCCTTGTTGCCGAGCACAGGCTCTGGGGCGTGCGGGCTTCAGTAGTTGTGGCACATGGGCTTAGTTGCTCCACAGCATGTGGGATCTTCCTAAATTAGGTAATGTCTCCTGCATTGGCAGGTGGATTCTTTATCACAGAGCCACCAGGGAAGCCAAATAAAAGGTTTTTATAAATGAATATTGAATGACATGAAAAATGACAAGGGAGTGGTGTCCTCAGGTGTCTTTTTTTTTTTTTATTTGTGTTGGGTCTTAGTTGCAGAATGTGGACTCTTTAGTTGCAGGATGCAATCTCTGAGTTGCAGCATATGGGATCTAGTTCCCTGATCAGGGATTGAACCCAGGCCCCCTGCATTGGGAGCTTGGAGTCTTAGCCACTGGACTACCAGGGAAGACCCGACTTCAGGGCTCTTGATTGCTATGTGGGGAGCTTCCTTCTCTGTGCCTTTATTTCCTCATCCCTACGATGGAGACTCAGCACATGGAGGGTGTGAACACTTGGGATGGTGCTTGGCACACAAGAAGTGCTCAATAATGGCAGCTGCTGTTCTTCTTCTTCCAGGAAGGTTTCTGTTAACATTTCCCAGAACAGATTGGACACCACCTGGCTGCCTGCAAGGATGGGTATGCACAAGTTCCCTAGGCTGGTTCATGTACAGGTTCACCTACATATAGATTTGCCCATGCTCTTACGTGTCCCTCGAGCACTGAAGTCCATACATTGCGTGAGGAGACTGCACGCCCATGGGGTATCAGGGACAAGCACTGTGCTTGCAAACAAGATCGCAGGTCCTTTGCTTCTGATCACTGGGGAGGAGGAAACGCTATTTCAGTTTTCTACCCCAGCGTGCTCATCCCTTGGCTCCTTTCAGCTCAGAGCTGCTGGGAATTTAGGCTTCTTCCCGGCATTGGCCTAGACTCAGGGCTCCTTTAGGGGTCTTAGGGCATTTGTAAGGTTGGGAATAGTATGGGCTGAACAACTGCCAAGAGGAAGTTGGTAAGAAGTGTTGGGACACGTGGGTTCATGGTCCTGCCATGCTGCTGAGGAATATCTGTATGACCATCCACCTTCTGAACTGCTTTGAGTTCTTAAATCTTTCTTATTCATCTGCCCCCATGGCCCTTGCCCTTTTTTCACTCATAGCATTATCATTACTGTCCTGGAGCCCCACCCCTGGCCTCCAGGTCTTCCCCAATCTAATGTTTAGAAAGGACTATGTCACCCCCCTGCTCAGAATCCTTCCTTGGCTCCCACTGCCTCCAGGATAAGGCCTACGCTCCGTGGCCTGGCCTTGTGGGATCTGCTCACCTTTCCTTATGCTTCAGTCTTTCCCATTCTGCCGGCCTCTTCCCTCTCCTCAGACTGGAATCTTCTCCTTGGATTGGGATCCTCTCCTGGAAACAGCAAAGAAAGCTAAATGAGCTTCCTTTCCTCCTTCCGTTGCTAGAGAGGGGCTTCCCTGTGGCTCAGATGGTAAAGCATCTGCCTGCAATGCGGGAGACCCAGGTTCGATCCCTGGGTCGGGAAGCTCCCTTGGGAAAGGAAATGGCAACCCACTCTGGTACTCTTGCCTGCAAGACTCCATGGACTGTCACCTGAGGAGACTGGTGGGAGACAGTCCATGGAGTCGCAAAGAGTTGGACACAACTGGGTGACTTTCACTTTGCCAGATGGAGATAATAGCTGATATTTCTTCTTTTTTTTTTTTTTTTGCTGGGGATGGATTTAGTTTTACTTTCAGTTATATTTAGTTTTGAAAAACTCAAGATTTGGAAAATACAAAGCATACAGAAGATTACAAGCTACCCAGACCTTAATATCTTTCTTGCCCTCAAATTTCCTCAAATTAGTACCTCTTTTTACACATCTTAAAGACTCTTCCATAAATATCATCTATTGAAGATCTGCTGTGTGCTTTCCATGGATTATTTCACTTAAATCCTCACAGTCACCTGTGGGCAGACTGAGGCTCAGAGACCAGAGCCTCATGGTTGATAAGCAAAGATCCGAGACAATGTGTGTCCATTTATGAAGTGCTTTCTATGTGCCCTAGGATTGTCCCAGAGCTGGGACATTCAGCGAGTCATTCAACGAATACTGAGTGCCACTCTTTTAGGTCTCTGGGCTAGGTTACCTCCTAGGGGAGGAGGGCAGAGGCTTAGCCTTCCCAGAGTTTATATCTCAGTGGAGATGGCCTGTCGCTGATGCCCCCTTTTTCTAAGTAAGAAAACCAAGGAACAGACGCGAAAGAAACAGACCTGAGGTCATACAGTGGTAAGAAAAGAGCTGGGATAAGCAGACTTATTTTACTACTGGGGAAGCTGGGGCACAGAAAGGGAAACAGACTTGCCTAAGGAAACCCGGCAGGCGGCAGAGCCGGGATTCCCAGGCTCACAAGGTCTCGGCCTTCCCAGCACCTCCCCTCGGGGGGCGGGGCCACCTCGGGCCCCGCCCCGCCGCTCGCGCCTGCCTTCCTGGCAGCCCTGGCGGCTGTTTCCTGCCCGCGTAGCTGGGCGGGCGGCCGGCCGGCCCATCTGGCGGCCCCCACGGGGAGGCGCGGGGAGGCGGCCCAGACTCGCTGGAGCCAGGCGCCGGCCTGGGCCCCCGTGCCCGCCTGGAGAGCCCAGGTGTGGCCGCGGCGGGGGTGGGGGTGGTGCCTTCCTTCCCGCTCGGCCCTTCCTGACGCACCCGGGCAGGATGCTGCCTCCTTCCCAACCTCCGCCTCCCACGACCTGGCCTGGAACGGGGAGGGAACACTAGCGGTGGGAGAGCGGGCTGGGCAGGGAGCAGCAGGCCCCGCCTCTGGTCTCCACTCCTTAGGAGACCTCGGGCAAGTCTGGCCCTTTTTTGGCGTGGGTGGGACTGGTGTAGAGAGCACTCGGTTTTCCCATTTGTGCGAGAACGGCTGAACTCTGACCGGATCGCCCAGGATCCTGCCTTGCCACTCAGGGTCCGACCCCAGACAGGCTTGTGGGAGCGGGAGGCACCTCTCCTGCCTGAGGATCGTGACATGATCATTGACTTGACATTATCCATTCGTTCAGCCATTTAAAGTCTGTCTGCCTGATCACAACGTCAGCTGGGGATCACAACGTCAGCTGGGGAGCATGCGCTTGACCCGTGTTCCCTGCCGTGCCCAGCGGCTTGACCTGTGCCCAACTCATACCAGGTGCTGAAGCCCCAAAAGGGCATGTCAAGGCTTTGCCCTCTCCCCCCAAACTGGAGCCACCCCTCGAATTGGAGCCACCCTTCCAAATTGTAGCTTACTCATTTGACAGCTGAGCAAACACGACAGAGTGGGCAGCCAGCCCTGCTGTCGATGCTGGCCCTCTTCTCCATTGCCACTCCAAGACAGGGAACCTGGAATTGAGCATCCTGATTTATGTTAGCAGCACCTGCGGTGAACATCCCCCAAACCAGGCATCCTAGGTTCAAATCCCTCTGGGGCCCTTATTGTCTATTTCCATTTCCTTTATCTGTAAAAATGATGACACCTCCCTCACAGGGGTGTTATAACCATTACATGAATATTTCTAAAATAGGTTATCATAATGCTAGACATGTTAAATACAGATGAAATAGTGTCCTGGAGCTCTCCGCAGGGCTGGCCTCCCTCTTCCCCTACAGTAGCCCCCTCCTACTCAACTGTAGTCAGGAGAGAGGGAGGCCACTGAGGGACACCTAACAAATCAGGGGCGAACTTGGGGGTTTTGGAGCTGTTTCCCAAGAATCCACTCCCACCCGCGGGGTAAGGCTGGCAGTAGGCCCACCCAGGGCCCTGCCCAGCCACCCACCCCCGCCTCTCCAGCGTGCAGACCCGATCCGTGCCCGGCCTGGTGCCATTTTTCCATGGGACTCTGGCTGTGGCGGTTCACATCTGGAGTCTAGACTCGGAGGCTCTGCGGGCCGGGCCTACCGCCCGGGCTGAGCCACCACTGCCCGCTGTTTGCTCAGCTGAAGCTGGTTAATTGGAATTAGAGTGGCCTCTGCGGTGCCGGCTGGCCGGGCGGGCCCTGGATGGCCGCTGCCGAGGTCTGTGGAGCATCTGGCGGGGCCGGGATGGTCATTAGGTGGCAGGCGCCCGGCGCCACTGCCACCTCAGCCTCTGCCGGGGGCCGGCGGTGACTCAATGAGGGCTTTGTAGGCTATGGACCGCAGAACCAACCGTGCTGTGTGCCTGGGCTGCCTGCCCCATCTGCCGCCCTCAGAGAGGCCTTGTTCCAGGACCACACGGCCTCCCCTCTGGAGGCGGCAGAGATCCGAGAAGCCCCTGAAACGGACCCTCTTGGCTGGGGGAAGCTTTTGAGATTTCCCTCCTTCCTTTCCAGAAAGTCCAGAGAAGTTGATAGTGACTCAGGCCCAGGGGTCTGCAGCAGAGGAGGCGCAAAGTCCTCAGGAACTCTGGAATTTGATTCAGATTGCTCAAGGTCAAATCCCTGTCTAGGGGTAGGTAAGCTGCCTCATTTCTCTCACTTGTACATGGGGCTAATATTACAGATGGAGAGTATGAGAATTAAGTAAATCCTGTATTGAGGTGCTTGGTACATGCAGCAGCTCCCATTATCTGCTCCCACTTGTTCTTAAGCTCCAAACTGGAAGCACTGTCATTTTCAGCCTTTAAACCTGGAAGCTTAGGCAGAGATCTCTGGGCTGTTGAAAGTCTGAGCCTCAGGCCAGTGGCCACCCTCCCTGACCTTAGTTTCTCCACCCAGTGACCCCATACTAGGCAGGTAAATGAAGGCTGTGCCCACCCCTTGCCTGGTCCACTGGGGGTTCTCCTTCAGGCCAGGGCTGTTGTCTTTGGCAAACTGTGGAGAAACCCTGGCTCTGGGATCTCCGGTTCTTGTGCCTGGATGGCCTCCCAGAATCCCCCTCCTCAGCCTCTCCAGGGGCGCTCGGGATGGCGCCGAGAATCAGGATCCTTCTGGCTTTGCAGCAGTCGTTTTGGGAAGAACCCCAGGAACAGGCAGAAGGGGAGTGGTGGGTCCTCCGTGTCCAGGGTGACCTAGAGTCCCAGTGCTCCCCAGCTGAAGCCCTGTGAACACTGAAATCACAGAGGATGGCTTCTGCCAGTGTGGGAATAAAATCCACTCTTTCCTGGGGCCCAGGTGGCCCTGCTGCTTCCCTGGCTTCACAGATAATGGCCCTCTTGCTGAGTCAGGCTAGCCTTTTGGTACCACAGCCTCTTCTCCGCAGACCTTTCCTCCAGAAGGTGAAGCAGCCAGTACCTGTCCGACACCCTCACTGTCCCCAAGTACTGGGAGGAGCGTGGCAGGAGAACTGGATGGCTGCAGACAGGGCTCAAGGGCCCCCTCTGCTGGTCAGAGGGCATCTGGGGGTGCTAAGCTGGCACCTTGGCCACCCGCCGGGTGGGCAGCCACGATGGAGAGGCTAGAAGGTCAGGGCTTCACTGCAGGCTGCGACAGTCCACAGCCCCAGGAAGGGGCTTACATGAAAGTCTCTGGGTGGGAGGGTGAGAAGCAGGAAACCCACTCTAAGGTATTGGGTGAGAACTTTCTCGAAGCACAGTGGCCTGCCCAGGCAACGGGATGAGTTTTTAATTTGAGGCAAAGTCAGTCCACAATACAAAAGTCTAAAAATCAGACCCACTTTTCCCACCTGGCACCCAGGGGTTGGGGGGGTGGGGACAGTTGGGGGCTTCCTTTGCAGGCAGGAGACGGGGAGGAGCAGGGGAAGGCCAGAGAAGGGGGAGAGGGAACCAGGCCCTGGAGCCCCCACTGGAGGGAGCCTGCTGCCCCTGCCCCTCTCTGGGAGCTGCCTGCCCCAGCGGCAGACCCGCGCTGTGCGGGCCAGTGTGTGGCCAGCCCGCCCGGGTGTCCAGCCCTTGCAGGGTCAGGCACCAGCTCCATCACTTCTCCTTCTTCTCCAGCCCCTTCGATGTGGTCGCCTCTGTTCCCTCTCTGGTTTCTGTCACTGCTGCTGGATCCTTAGGATTTGACTCCTCATAACTGACCAGAAAAACAAGACATAACAAGGACGACACATTTAGAGGAGGGAAGGGCAGAATCTTTGTGCCCACCTCCCACCATTGCAGGAAAACCCTGGGCACACATATCCTTGGCCCAGCACGTTCCAGGACTTGGCCCGGCCCTGCCGTGCGCCCTCCTGACTGGCTGCTGGGTTCCACTTTCTCTGTGCCTGGTGGTGCCAAGGGCAGTGGCAAGTGGAGGAGAGGTTGGGCTTGTGCAGACCCATTTTAAGCTTCCTGGACCTTCCATTGGGGAAAGAGTGGGGAAAAATAGGGGCAGCCAGGATGAGGCTACAGGACGAAGGGCTGCCTCCCAGGGCACATGACAAGAGTCAAAAAGCTTAGCCCCAGGGGCGTGGGCGGGCGGGCAGGGGGCTGCTCTACTGACAAGTGGCAAGGTGCCACTCTTGCAGGCAGGCGCCCTGGCTTAGCTCTTCCTTTGGGCTCCACTTACTGAGCAAGTGAGTTCATGCCAAGGACAATGCTCACATTTCCTTACCACATCAACCCCGTGAGGCAGGCATGTGCCCACTTCTATATGAACAAAGAGAGGTTCCGAAAGGGGAAAGTGAAGGTTATACACTTGCCCCAGGTTATATATATACAGAGAGCGATAACAGTGTCCACTGCTGTGTGACCAGGGCTGCTGACTCCCAATCTCAGGTGAGTCCCACAGTACCAGTGAGGCCGCTGGGGTCCTGGGGCCCTGCTCCCCCACCCCTCGGCTGGGCGCTGTGACTGCCTGGTGGTGGTGGAGCTGCCTCTTGCTGCCTGCCCCGGCAATGCTCCCTGCCCCGTACACTGGAGCAGGGGGGTCTGCCCTACCTTGGGCCCCGGGGCAGTGGGGGGAAGTGGGCAGGTGGGCACCCGGTGGGTATTACATGGCGCTGGGATTCTGCGGGCGCCGGCGGCGAGGGCCAGCTAGCTTCTGCTGCATGGAGTCCGCCAGGCTGGCTGGGGAGCCCGAGACTGTGGGGAAGTGGGTGAGCCTCGGGGTGTGAGGCAGGATTTCCGCTGAGGACTCGTAGCTGTGTGAGAGACAGACAGAGACAGAAAAAAAGAGATGGAGAGGAAAAGACTAACGAGGACAGAGATTTCTTTTCCAGGGAGCAGAAGTGGGTCTTACTTCTATCTATCTCTGCACTTTCGAACTCTGTGGAAAGAAGTCAGTGTTACTTGGAGGATAAAAAAGAAAAGATGCACCTATACAGGGAGATACTGCAAAAGAACAAGGATGCCCTAGATGTATACATATGTGTCCCAGGTGGCGCTAGTGGTAAAGAACCTGCCTGCCAATGCAGGAGACATAAGTGACATAAGTTCCATCTCTGGGGTGGGAAGATCCCTGGAGAAGGGAATGGCAACCTACTCCAGTAGTCTTGCCTGGAGAATCCCATGGTCAGAGAAGCCTGGCGGGCTACAGTCCATGGGGTCGCAAAGACACGGCTGAGAGACTGAGCACACACGCAGATGTTCTGCTGCTGTGGAAAGATCTCTCAGACACACCCTGGTGTGAAAAATCAGGATGCAGAATGCTCCAAGAATGCCACCACCTGCATGAGAATGTGTATACACATACATGCTTTCAGGTGCAGAGATATCTCTGAATGTCCAGGGACAGAGTTGGCTTCGTGGGTGGCTGGGGTATGAGGGGGTTGGTTGTCCTGCTCATGCTATGGAATTTTGAACTATGTCAATGTGTTATCATTTAAAAAGAAGTAAATGAATAAAAAAGGGATAGTGCCACTAAAGCTAAAAGTAAAACCAAAGGTAAGATGGAGGATTAGGGAGAGAGATGGGCAGAAGAGAAGAGAGACTATTTGCTTCTTTACCTCAATATAAAAACCTCCTGGGGGGTGGGGGGCAGAAAAGTGGGGTACCCACGTGGGCAAACTTTTATAGAAACCAAGCACCAAGTGGGTGACGGCGGGCACCCAGTTCTGGCTGGGAAGGGCACCCCAAGTGGGCGCCAGGGGCTGAGACCGGCTGAGTGCGGAGGGTGAGGGTAGGGACCAAGCTCAGGGCTCAGGGCCCACTCCTGCCCCCAGACCTGCCACCTGCTTCACCCCCAGCCTTGCCTGAGTCCACAGGGCTTTGCCAGGTCAGGAGCCCTGGGCAGGAAGGCTGGGAGCCTGGGGCTCTGAGGCAGGGCAGGGAGGGCAGGGGCAGGTACGGGGGAGGGGTGAGTCACAGGCTCCCCCACAGGCAGCCAGGTGCACAGAAAGCTCTGGCAGGCACTCGAGGGACAACCTGGAGGCCAGGCAGGTGGAGCTGGTGGAAGGCCCCCGAGTGGGCAGCTTCAGCTGCAGCTGGCAGCTATTTCTGGGCCCCTGGCGGGCGGGGCTGGTGCTGCTGGGGTGGAGACACCTGTCGGAGTCACGCAGGCCTGGGGGTCAGGGTGGGGCTGATCACGGGTGTGGCAGGTGTGCGGAGGGCCACAGGGAAGGGGCATGTGTGTGACTAAGACAGAGAGAAAGCAGCTGGCTCTGGGTTACAGCCACAGCGGCAACTGGACATAGGCTGATGCTTGACTTCTCATCAAGCATTTCCATCACACTCGAGTCCCCTGTATCACTCACATGTGGACACTGAGGCTGGGGGCAGGGAAAGACCTGCCTGAAGTCATATGGCAGCAGGGTCGGGATGGGAACCCAGGGCTCCCGACAGCGGGGCAGCCTGGGGTGGGGAGGCTACACCAGCCAGTCCCTTTCCGTGACTCAGCTGGCATCTGGTGTGGGGGCTGCCTCGAAAGCCCCAAG